TTATCTCTCAGCCCTGATTACGTCCCGGCGCGCAACCCTTCCGCCCGGGGTGTACTCTCTATCCTCTTGGGTGTCGTCCGCCGCGTGTTGGAGCGTCTATTAAGAAACTGCTCCGGCAATTAGTCAAATGGTTCCGTTCCGACTGCTTAATTACTACGTAGCTACATAAATTCGAACGGTCTCGCGCCTTATCGCCGAACACGAGCTTTCAATTTCGAATTTCGCGTTTTCAAAATGTTTTTTTGATGTTCGGGCGGCGTGTCCTGTCGTCGAGATAATATCGAGACCTATTATCGTCGATATTCGGGGTCCGTTTTCTTTGAATTTAGTACGGTGTACGAAAATTAGGAAAATCGATTTGTCACATAATCGCTTGCGTTAATTGGAAGTAATTTATTCATTAATCGAACTGAATAGCCGCTATTTACCTTGTCAATTACGGCCCCGTATGCGTACAGAAACAAACCTTTGATCGGGATGAGCACGGGCCAGTTCCTTCGCTAACTTAAAATTTGGTTAGTTTGGCAACAGTGAAATAAAATGTGTCTTGGTCCCTGGCGAACTTGCCCCCAAAAAGGAATTACGATCTTGATACCTATTGTTATTGGGTATACACAACAACTAATAATTCACAAGTACGGGATAGACCACGTGTTGGCTAATATTAGCTTCTTACTGATTTTTTCATTATGTCGCGCCGAAGTCACTTGTCATAGATGCAAAACAAAATTTGAAAAATGTATATGAATGTTTAATGAGTAGAGGATTAAATATACAAGAACCTTTAAAAATAACCTAGCTACTTACAGAATATATGGGATACTGAAAATTACTTAATTTCAATCTCACCGTCTGAACAAGTGAACCACCACCACAGTGAACAAGACATGATACGTACCACATACATACTTTGGATAAATTCAAAGTGAAGCTAGAAGAATCACACAGAATTCGCACTTGGAGATTTGATTACCTTCAAGATTGGTTCGACACACACCTTCAAATAAAGGAAAACGCTTCACGCTGAATCAGAAAAAGTATTTATTCCAAACTGTCTGTTGGACTTACTGGTCATGGAAATACGAATGCAGACCTTTTTGAAAACTGGTTTCAAAATTATCTTTTGAAACTATTCAACAAGCTATCACAGCCGCCTGCTAGAAAAATTGAAGAATATTTTATGAAATTATATTTACTTTGAAACCAATTATAACATCTGGACGTGTTAAAAAACAATGTGTATGTGATAATTTAGCTAAAGAGATGGTGCATACTGTTTTACATCTTCCTCTGTTTGCTGATATGACAATCAGACGGTTTAGATCTGGCGACCTTGGTGGTCCGTGAATGAATCCATCCCAAACTATTAACTTAAGTGCTGTTTGTAACTAAAATTCCTTTACTAGCTGACCTACAAAAAATTGGAAAATGTAAACAACTAAGTTACCTAACGCACAACTGTATTTTACAGGTTCGCGTACATAGATTGGAAAATGGTTTAAAGTCAATATGAAGGTGAATCGATGAAGACTAATGAAACAGTGATGTCGGTTTTAACATTAATAGTTTTAGCTGAAATAAATATCAATTTGGTTTCAATTTGGGCTGGGCCATAATAATTATTGACTCGCATAACGAAATATAACGAAAAAGATGGTTCAATAAGATCCATTTCGTTGATTTCAGAATAAAACAGTTTGTCAGCTTGTGTAACAGCTCTAGAAAGTTGTAAGAAGTTGCAAGCCCGCATTAAGTGACGAGAGTGTTCACGGCGGCAAGCAGCCACACGTTAGCTGCATCGTTTATAAAATTGTACATGGTTAGTAACTTATAGACTGTTTTTTAATTAAAGTCAAAGTCAACAAAAAAAAAGTACCAACACGGTTCAACTTGAGTTTAAATGCTGTTTTTGTTAGTAGTTTAGTTATTTCAGTGATTGAATGGGGAAAATGTACTAAATAATATGCATTGATAAAGCTTGAAAAACTAACCAAAACTGCTGTTACGCTAAATAAAATAAAAAATGTCAATCAATTCCAAAAAGACTGGAAAACAAAAAAAAAAGATTATCTTTGATTAATTTAAACACCTATTATGGTTTACGCAACGAGTGTGGTAAACGGCAGTTGAGTTACGAGTTTTATTAACTTTTTCTGGTACCATTCATTTTTGGGTACATTTTTCAAAACAAAAACATTCGATTGCTCCCAAACCCGTGAGGTAATATCCCGACAATCGCAACCGTAGGAAACGAATCTGACGTCGTAAAATACTAGATCGGTGTATAATTGGGAATTTTAGAGAAGGGAGTAGAAATATTATGCAACAAGTGCGGTAAACGGCATTTGACTCACGAGAGACTTAACAAGTTTACCGAACGTGTTGCGTACTATACTTTTTCTACGACCGCTAGTTTTTGGGTACATTTTCGCAAAACAACACGAATACATTGACTGACATGACCGTCAGAATTGACAAACCTCAAAAGTCAAGGAGTGGGAAATATGTCCGAAAACATCCGATGGCTCCCTAACCCTTGAGGTGACATCCCGAAAATGTCTGAAGTGGATCAGATGTGTGAAATTGTTTTTTTAAAGCATTAAATAAGAACACAGTATAAAAATTTCATCTGAAATAAACAAATTAAAAGCGATTAAGTGCTAAAATGTGTAGAAATAAACGCTAAAGTATACTTTTATTGAATGGATTTCTAAACGAAATATTTCGAAATATTTATTCATTAACGCTTTAAAAAAAAAACGGAAAATATAACCTTTCAAATCATGCAGAAATCTCACTTTTTCGAAGAAATCCTCGGCTAATAACATTCCCCGTCATTTCAGGAATGACTTCCTTTTCCTGCAGATGAATTCTGGAGGGCGTCGCTTACACCCTCCTCGGGAACGTCGACCCACAACATAAACAGGGTGTCGCTAAATAATCGAAATATGCAATTCGCACAGCTCTCTATATTGTTGCAGTTCGCAACGGCGGTGAATAATTATTGTTAGTTAACAACATAAATTCGCTCGGGTGGAGGATTTTCGGTGCGAGGCTTAATTAGTTGCCGTTAACGTTTTTAATTATGGCGACAATAATTCCCGGAATGGAAAAGCAAATATATACAACAACGCCGAATCAGATGCGGCTGGTCTCGCGTATACACGGTCGATATACCGGCACAGTGACGTGGAAAGAAATGTTTCCGGAATAGGAATGGATTGATTAATCGCAGTAATTACCGATCAGCTTTCCGCGCTAATTAGATTTCGTCCCCTGGCAGCGCTGCAAATGAGATTACGGCTGGAAATGGCGCTCGCCACATCAGCCGTTATGCGGGGCGCACGCGTTAATTGTCATCGATTTTTATAATGCCATTATGTCAGTACACAATTTATCACGTAACTCTGTGGCGCGGCACCCGTCGCATAATTTTGGCAACCAGTTCCGCTTTTACCAGGAATATATATCCGAGAACGCCCGCTTTCTTCATTGCCGAAACCCGTTTTCGCCTAATCTATTGTCGAAGAAAACAAATTTCCAAAACCAAATAAGGTGTAGGAACGTCGCCTCGTGTTAAAAAAAAAATCAACAATTATTATTTCCATTATAAATAAAAATCAACAAATTTCGATATACTTTCGTCCATTAAGTATTAAAAACTGCAACAAGTTTTTTTTTCTAAGAACACTACTAACAACAACATTTCCTCAAATAGCATAGCTTAGTGCGTTAGGTGGAAACGTAATATTTAAAAAAATAAATAAAAATGATAAAGTGAAAAACAAATTCAAAGCAATTCATACCTTAAGTTGTATTTCCATGATCTTGTTAAAAATGAAATAAGTACGATTTACCCTTATTACTTTTGCAAAGAAATAGTTTAAATTTTTTTTGTCTTCGAATATTGGAAATAACTAAAAAATCAGAAAATACGTACTGCATTAAAATTCTATTCTGATAAAATAATAAAAAAAATGAATGAAAATTATAATATTGATAATAACGATAAATGCAGGTATTTACTGTTTAGGTAATTAAGTTACTCAAGTTATAGGGACATTGTGAGTATTGCGAATTACCGTGACTGTTTCCCTAATCTATTTCTATTACTATTATTGTAATTTATTATTATTAATAATAAATTTTGGTTTGTTAGATGAGTTAGGTACTTTTTATGCAACCATGAAAAATGCTTCATTAGCTAATATTCAAATAACTTTAACCAAAAATTAATGTTGTTACAATTTTGTTGTTAATAAAGATTTATTTGCGAAGTTTTCGATACCGAGTTCTAGTTTGTTCGTTTGTCAAACCGTTAATTATTTAGTGATCGTAAAATTCATACATGTTTAAAGATTTTTTTTTAATTTCAGTGAATGTTACAGCAGTATGAATGATTATTTTTACCTTTGTTTATTATTATATATCCTACGTATAGTCGAAACGTGTCATTAAATAAAATATACATGTATTAGCTTGTCAAAATTAGGATTCAGTTGAGTTTAGTTTGGGACAATTATTTTATCACGTCTGTTTGAAATAGATTACTTTAGTTTTAGTTTTTGTGTCAACGACTCCTTGTCACTCATATATAATTATAATTTTGTTTATTTACTATTTTACCATCAAACTGACCGGGATAGATCAAAAGTTCAAAGGAAAAGCCGTTTTCCATATTCAAGAATTATAATATAGTCCAAGAACTATAGTTTGTTACTAATATTCGGCGGGATATACAGAATGCCAAAAAAAGTTCATCGATGTTCGGTAATAATACAATAAAAGGCTTTATTATGGAGACAGAACGTGTCCAAAAAGAATAATTTTTGAACCGTTTAACTAGATTTTTCAGTATTATAAATTCTTGGACTTTTTTTTAACGATTTTTTTACCAATTAAAAAAATTGTCTTATTAGCAGTTAATCTAAATTTTATGAAATTCCGTTTCAAGCTTCCGTCGAGATAACATCAAAAGAGACAATAAAAAACAAGCTTACCAATTATTAACTTGCAGTATCGTAAGGCCGGTGTCTTGCGCTAGCTGCTTTTTCTGATCTTCCGAAGGGTACGGATGCTGAAATTCAAAAAGTAGGCGAATTAGTGATTGACAACGACTCCGGTCAGCTACGTAGCTAGGAGGGCTTTTTAAGCATCAAATAAATTGATGGCAGGTGGGCGGACCGAAACGTGTGATAATTCCTGCATGTCGCTACGGAGTAAATGATATTTGAGGCGTGAACTTCTCGTCAGCTTTACGTGTCAGAGCCGGGATTATAGCAGTTTATTTCGGCTGAATTTAATGATTTCCTTTATATAGAGACTGTCTCCTTAAAATATCTCCAATTAGATATAACATTAATCCTGAAAAATTTGTAATATTATTATTATATCTTAAATCAAATGGAGTTAAACATCTCAAAACTTCAGCACTGTATTACATTCGTTGTAGGTATTATATTTTGGTCAATTTTCTCAAATTTAGTTCATATACTTTACCATAACTACAACTTCAAATTTGTGCGTATGTGGTAATTCATATGCAATGATGCAATGATACTTATTATTGACTGATATTATTATTATTATCATTACTTTGCGAATTTATTCATGAATGGGTATGTTTAAAGATCTCCTGAAAGTCGTAAAAGAACGTGATTGGTTTGGTTAGTACAAGATCAATCATAACATAATCATAACATCATAATTATCCGTTGAAAAGGGATTTCTGAAGTATCTTATGTTTATGTTAATTTAGTCTCATCCGAACCTCTAGCATAACTTTATCCTCACTAGCTTTGGAGAGATGCCCTTGAAGGTGCGTGACTTACGGGTATTCCATTTCACGACGTCTAAAGTTAATATTTGCGAGGTTGATTATTTTGCCATTTTATCCTCAAAATTGCAACCGCATCTGGCCTCTCTGTCTTCTTTCCTCCTTAGCTTCACAATCTTAGGTGGGTGTTTGGCGACTCTAACACATTCCTCTATCTTTCTCTGTCCAGACCATCTTGAAAGCTCATGACTCTTAGGTCTGTTCCAATGTTGTTTCTCCACCTAAGGCGTGGTCGAGCTAAATGACGTTTTCCTTGTGGGCATCACCCATACTAGTTTTGCCATTCTGTTTCTGGCATTCTTCATACGTGACGAACCAACCGTAGTCTCCTGTCTGCATTTTGCATCCTTCATTATATTGCCATCTGTATACAGTGCTTTGAGCTTTTGGTTAGTTTTTATTTGGTATTGTCTTGTTGCTTCATCTTCTTTTCAAATATCTTTAGTCGTTCTTCATGGTCTCACAACCGTACATTTCTGTATTTTAGTTTTCCATTAAAACGACGAAGAACAAAAAAAGACATCTGTTTCCAGTTTGGATTCTGCCTTAATACTCGTGCCCAGGTATTTGAATTGTTTTACGCAATCTATCTGGTTGGCCCGTTTAGTTTTAATTTTGGTTTTGTTAATATTGGTTTTAGTTTCATTTTTTATATTTCTTCTTGTATTATAAAAATCATCTACATATGATTTTTGTAAGATTTACTTATTTAACTTGATTTACTTGTTTGAATTACCTTATACTATAAGCAATATTTTAAAACAGCAAATTAAATAAATTGCCATATAAATTATAATAATTTTTCTGTACCAAGCACCATAAAGCTGATATCTAATTCAGACTGTATGTTGTCCGACTATGGTTGAAATCTTTAAAATGTTTCACGAACGAGTAACATGATCCGTATATTTTTATAAATAAATAAATTACATTGCAAATTACGAGCTTGTTGATGGTAGTTCCAATGTAATAATTATCATAATTTAAATCCGTCTTGTACCAGAAAAAACTAGTCCATCGAGGCATTACGTGTTTAACCGGCCACGCGAGTAATCGGAAAAAAAATGTAGGCGGTCGGTAGTGGGGACGGGGAGATTTTTCAAAAAATTACCGCGGCCGCCGCGTTCGATGATCCGTTGCAAAACAAAAACAAAAACCAATTTAACAGATTAAGTACGTTGCAATTTGGCCGTTACGCTAATGCCTCAGACGAAACGTAATTCCCGCAGAGACCAGCTAGACTGCCATTAGCTGCCAACCGGAATCTGCGGTCGTAATTCCGTGAAAAACAGCGTGCTCGATCCATTCATTTCCCGTCACACCTCGCAAGAGCCCCACCGAGACCTATAACCCCATCTTCAGTGTCTCTCCCGGGCGGCATAACCCTTATGCGCGCAACGTCTGGGCCGCCTCTGCAGCCCGCCTAAGACCTCCCCCACACATCAGATCTCCGCTCCGCGGATATCTCGGATTCCTACCAATGCATAGTGATTTTTATGATTATGTTGGGATTCCGAAACTGCCCTTGTTTCCCGCCACACACACCCACGCACACATCGGATGCGCTATTATTTGCGTATCTACATCTAGAATGTGAAACGGGTAGAAAATTGAAGAGGGTGCCCCCCGTAAGCACCTCCAATAGCTGATTTTAATGCACCTCGGGGGTACATATATCGTGTTGGGCAATTTACTGCTCCGGTTCTACACCGGAAAAAAGAAAGATTTAAATCTGTTAGGTATCGATCCCTATTATATAGGAAGATTTTGTTTATTACACCAACAACCAACAACATTCTTTTGTCTTTAGAAGCAACTGGCACAACGTTTCGGTCAGCTTTATTATTCACAACTGAATCGTTACGTGAAGTTTTCTATTGAGAACACTAGGATCCGTATGTTTCAAAAATTGTTCCAATTGTAGCAAACTAGATACTAGGATTATTGAATACGTGATTATCGTCTGACAACGGCCCCTTTCCACTTGTGGATATAACCCGCCCATCAGACCATTTATTATTATGTTGTTTAGACCAAATCATTTTTTGTTTCTTGACAGGGCTTGTTATTCCACTACCCGACTTATAAGCAGTTTTGGTGTACTTGCTATTAGCTCAGTCAGCATCACAGATGTTTGGCAACTGCAATTAGCATAACCTTATACAAGATTGAATTTTTCAGAATGGTTCGTGGTCTTGGTCAGTTCACATAATTCATCCATTAGTAATGACTACCAGTTTGTCTTTTAAAAACTCAACAATGTCTCAAACGATTATGTTTTTTCAAACTCTCTACAATTTTAAAAAATTGCTTGTGAACTATAGGTGCAATGTGTCCGTGAGTAAAAATCCGGAAATAAACCTAAATTTTGCACAATTGTTTTATTTTTTCAACATTGATAGGGGACAACACATTTTTCTGGACTAGAATTCATCGTTAAGTTTTCGAAAAAAAAATTGAAACAATGGAAAGAGGGTCTATAACCATATAGACAACGATCGAGTTTCGTTTAGAGAAAACTGTTAGTTTACACCGTTTTCATCAATTTTACAAGCAAAATTAAACAAAAAATTGCAAACCAAATTTAGGCAGATTTTTATGCAAATTCTAGGAGACTTGTTCCTTTTGCAATACCTATATGATATAAGTTTTCACTTACTTAAAAACTATTTCTTTAATCTTGACGTATTTGTAAAGATAATAAAACCGATTAATCAAATTGCAAAAGACCAAAACTCTCATGAACAAGAATAAACCGCAAACGTTCAAATTTTTAAATAAACTGAAAAAAAAAAATAAAACTTAAACCTGGAAATTTTCGTTTTTCCGTATTTCTAGAACTTTTTAACGAAGTTCCGTTTCTCGCACCGCTTGAGGTACTATCTAATATCGAGAGTCGGATGAGAGATAGCTTGTTGTTAATTAATGCAATGTCGTTTCACAAAATCTAATATGAAATTTCTTAACCGTTTCAATCCAATTTGGGAAGCGCGTATACTTGAGTGCCCTCGATGCGCATATAGATTAAGATGGCGAAACCGATAACCAACAAAATGCGACCTAAGAACAATATTTGATTTTGCACAAGACTTGTGAATACTCTTGAACTGTTTATAGTTGAAAATTGTTGAAAGTTAAGATTTCCTTTTTGTTCATTTTTTTTTTGTTGAAATATTGCTTCAGGTGGCGAGACAATTTGTGTATTTATTTAGTTAATTTATTTATTTACAAACTCAAAGACAGACAAGACTGCTCAATTACAGAATAGCCCATGTTTAACATATAAAATTACATAGTCGGGAATACAAAAGAAACTTACGTTGATATTTATAAAACCAATAGAAAGTGTTTGAAAATTCAGGATAAAATAAAATAAATCAGTATTTTCACTGTTCAGAAAAACATAGTTATACGCACACAAGTACATGTAATAATTGCAGAGTTTGGGAAGTGGTTTGATGAGAATCAATTTAGAATAATTAGCATTAAAAGATAAGTATAAGTAATAAAGGGCTCATGATATATAATGCACTACTAGCCTATATTAAATCTGCCATAGTGCTGAATGATTTTAAAAGAAAATTATGAACATATGTAAAGTTAAGCAATTAGATATTGTGATATGAATAGAATGTACCGTGCGTTCTATTTGTCTTGATAACATTTTAATTGGTTGTAACTTTTTTGTATTTTATCATTATTGTTAAAATGGTTTTTCGTGAATGTATAGTATGGTGTAATAGATGGGCATATTTTGGGTCCGATATTTATAAATCAAAAGTTAACTGGAGATCATCATTTGCAACTCTTAGAGCACCAAATAGAACAATACATATACCCCTAAATACATCGGGGCTGACTATTTGGCAGCAAGACGGTGCCCGTCCTCACAATGTTGTGCAAGTTAAATATCCCAGGGGTTGGATAGGGTACGGCGGAACAGTGGGTTGGTCAGCCAGCCGTCCCGACTTAACTTTAATGGATTTTTTCTTTTAGGGACACATAAAAAATCAGGTGCACAGAACTCTTTGTAATAATGTCGTATAACTTCCGTAAAGGATTTCAGAGGCAATCAATCATACAATTAGAGTGTATGAGAAATGTGTTCAGGAAAATGGTGGTCACATATAGCAGTATTTAAAATAGTTAAAGAATTTTTACTTTAGGGTGTCTTGTCATTTTCAGCGTTTTTGTTCTACTTTAATTTGTAAATAAAACTTCCAATTTTTGCCGATTTGTCA